TTAGGTACTGAAGACACAGCTGAAAATAAAGTAACTTTGAAAACAAAAAGAGGGTGTTAACATCCTCCTTAAATATTTCTCTGGGGTAACTGATTTTTTATTGATGGGGCTTCTACCTAATGAAAAAAGACAGACAGATGCTCAACTGCGGATGCTTTATGAATGGACTGTGTATCATCAGTGTTACACAATAAAGACAACGAAGAGCGTTATAGGAAGACGACAGCAATATGTAAATAGGTCAATAGATAATAAGCAATAAACATATTTTCATTAGAAACAGCAGATTTCTATGTATATTTTAATCGCTTCTATTGCCTTTGTGTGTCCTTTGGTCGAAGATGACAGTAGCAGGACAAAGATGCAGATAGGCATGGCAGTGACCAAGGAGACCAGTGCACAACTTCTTTTCCAGAGCTCACGTTTCCATCACATAGTGCTGCTGTTATTCCGTCCTTTTGCCTTATGTAGTCTAGCTTGCCTCTCTTTTTTGCCATGCTCTACCTCAACATGCAACAGCCACAGAAGCATGTGTGTGCTGTTATCTACACCAGTTGCCTAGACTAATAGTGCAGAGACCTCCCAATTCATATTTCAACAACCAGCGTATGCTAGAAACCTTTAGCACTTGTCTACACTACACTTCTACACTACCTGAGCTGAATATGCAGGAAATATGTATTCTCTTGAGCAATAAATAGGCTGTGCACTCTCTGCCATGCAAGTCCCTGCAGTCTAGTAAAATAAGCTTTTAGTCACACTGCTCCATAGGTGTTCAATAGAAGGTCTTTAATACTGTGAGCCTCCAAAGACCATACTGTTTTCCAGATGCAGGAGTTCATCACTTTGGTACATGCATGGTCAATCAGGATATTTCTGAAATAGATGAATTTTCAAATAGCTGACAGTTCATTTCCATTTGAGGTTATGGTGAGCACTATCAGCTTTTTCCCAGGAGCTAACCACTTAATTAACATAAAGTCTTCATTTACTTCTTGTTTATGGTATACTTAAAGTAAGCTGCAGAAGCATTAGAGTTCACCTGTAGCTCAAAGACCTCCTTAGAATTTGTCACCAATACAGATTGGCCAAAAAAAAAAAAAAAAGGAAAGAAAAAGAGAATCACAGATGTTTGTTTGGCAACAGCTCTCACTCTAGAGAGCTTGAGCAGCTTCCCAGAAGCCAGGAAAGATTCCAAAACTCACTAACTCACTTGGAGCTGCCCTGTCCAATACATTTGAGTAGAACAACCAGAATAGGATTAGTTCAAAAATGTTTCCCAGATTCTTTCTATTTATGGCAAAGAAATGTTTGGCTAGGTTCGAGTTGCTTCTGATTCAGAAGTGTGAGTGACTTAAGCACCATTTAAGAAGTCCTCAGGAAGGCTAAGCATTTTAAGTCAGTCTTCAAAGCCTGGACTGACTGACTTTGCCGAAAGCTTTAGTGAGGTTAGAGGCCAAGCAGAGATCTTCAGGACACTTTTGATGGTTCTTTTTTCATCAATGCTGAGTAGTGGAGTAATTATTACAGTGTGCAAATCACCTGGAGCACACTGCCTTCTCTGCATACAACCATCAGTAATACTTTGGAGCTGCTTACGTTCAGGCTAATGACAAATATTGCCAGTGGTTCTGTACTTGTCATTTTATTAGCTACCTACTGCTCCAGGCATACACTATGAGTGGGTTATACACACTGTGGCTTGTGTAGCACCACACCATTCTCTCTTCTCTTTATGCTAACACTCCACAGGTTTACTACCAAAAAAAAAAAGAAAAAGAAAAGAAAAAAGAAAGAGCATAGTGATGGCTGCACTCTGCAGTTGTCCATAAAGTTAGTGTGAGTGTCCTGAGGCAAAGGACAAGTGCAGCATAACCTACAGCAACTAACGGTCTGTGGGATCACACTGGTGTGTAGGTCAACACTCTACTTGCACCATGCCTCAAATGCCTATAAGGAAGAGTGGTTGCTTAAATGGTATCTGTAGCATACTGATTTCAGAAATGAGCAAGTGAGCTTCTCTCTCCCTTTCCAAGAGCAGTAAATAAGGGAATCAGTTAGGGAAGTTAGGCAAAGATGACCAAAGTCAAGCAGATCCATTTGGCACAAGGGGCAGGGATTTGTACGGCCAATTAAGATGCAATGCTAGGGTGAGTGAGCCATGAATATTTTACAGCAGCTGTGTAATGGCTGGAACTCTTAAGACAGTTGAGCACAAAGAGGTTGCAAACTAGTTAGGTCTGATTGCTTCTGTCCCCAGACATTTGGGCTTCAGACCGGGGTATAAAACACTGGCAAAAGATTTCAGATATTAGAGGCCGGAAGCTCTGAGTAGGCAAAATAAAGTAAGGAGGTTTGGCAGAGGCAGTTTCATTTGTAAACAGAGGATGTGGTTATTGCGTAAGAGCAGCTCTGAAATACAGCTCAGAAGAAACTCCGAAATACAGCAGCTAAATCCTAAGAGATGTTTGCAGAACTACAAAATTAAAGGCCTACTACTGTTCCCATTGAAGCCCCAGCGTGAGGAGAGGTTACCGCTTATTTTTTACAGAAGCTGGAACTGAAGTCCCAGAAAACACTGATGTGTTGAATGACATCAACCAGAAAGTGTGAGGGAAGAGAACTGCTCTCGTCTCAACCTTGCATAAATTGTAATATATCACTTGCATAAAATGTTAATATGTTTGCAAGCATTGGTATGTTACAGTAATGATCGAGATCCTACTTGTGTCAGGTGCAACTCTAAACAGAAAGTGAAATCTAATCTCTTCTCTAAAGAATTCATACTCCAGTGAAAGAACACATTCAAGGACTGGAAAGAAAGAAATTGGGAAAATGATGGTGACTGTAGCATGTAAAAAGAGTGCTTATAAAGACCAGAAAGGGATGCAAGCCAGTGTCTTGAACCACACCTGTACAAGTTCTTCTCCAAAAGTGAGAAATGATCTTTCTCTTCATTTTACTGTAAAGAAAGTTCAAGGAAATAGTGACAAATAATAATTATCCTCAGCAATACATAATGCTGGAGACAAGAATAATGACTATTACCTGAACCATTGAAAAGAAAACCAAAACCACAACCTACAAATAAAGAAGAAAATGAAAGTGGAATGTAATCAAGGTAACCTGAAGTTGTCTACACAACAGCAGTCAGTGCGGAGAAGTCTGACTTTGTTCCACCTGATTACATTAGTTTTGCTGCCTCAGGAACGAAAGGAAGCATCCTCCTAACCCCACTGACTAGCCTTAGAAAGTAAGGGCTCATGATGACTTCTTAAAATGGGGTTAGCTAGTCGTTGGTCCAGCTGGTTCTCACTCTGAACAGCTTCTATGCCAAAGCCGGGTCTGTACAACCTACCTAAGGTTTAGTAATGTGTTGTTTGCCGTGAAGGACATAGGGGGAACCTTTCTAAAACGCTTTTTAGGGAAAAGGCTCAGGCCGTTGCTGACGCGCAGGCCGTTAACCGTCACTTTCATTTGAACTGCGCCCCCAGCTCCGCCGCGGCTCCCCCTCCCGCGCTGCAGCGGGGCTTCCCCCACGCTACCGCGGCGGGGTGGGG